CAGTCAAATTATACACAGCATCTTTGAGAAACTAGATAAAACTGATTATCTTCAATAAACTTGCCCAGAGGTTCTATCTTTTAAATTGATATTCTCAAAATATTCAGAAATAATTCTGAATGGATTTTCCAAGATCTTTTAGAGCTGCTGCAATACTAATGTTCCCTATACTTCTACAGAATCCTGTCTTTTACAGGAGGTTGTTTAATGTAGAGAAATTCCTACATATTTGTATCAGCATGAAGTCATTAACGTAAGAACATATGCCACATTGGTTCAGACCCATCTTCTCTTCAGCAGTGGCTAGAAATCAATGCCCTGGGAAGAATGAGAACAGGGCAAGCATATGTAATACTTCCTCAGAGTCTTCTCCCAGCTGCCAGCTATTTTCAGGTCAGAGAACTTCCTGAGATTGATGCTGCCTGTCTCTTTAGTTTCCCTCAGCTAATCTCTCAAGTATTTACTTGATAATCTCCCCCTGAACACCAAAATTTTCACATCCTAAACAGTTCTGACAAGAAATTCCATAGGTATACTAACACAGGTCCATTAACATAATGACTTTGCATCAACATCTGTCTCCTCCTTCTCCCCAAACTTTGGAATTTTATGACAGTACAGAAACAAAAATAATACTGTAGAATCTGTGGTCTTGCTGCATGACAGAGCTCCCCTTTTTGTAGAAGAGGAAAAGAGATCATAAGATCCCAGAAATTTAATGTTTCATTTCAAATACATCTTCCTTTACTTCTTCCATTCTCACTCCACACTGAAAACCTAAATAGAGGTTTGGGATCAAAAAACATTCAATAAATAGTGCAAAGGCTCTGTTTATCAATCATGTTTTCTTAAATTCAATACTGCATATAATGTAGTTCTATACAAATCAGCTACTAAGATTAAATGAATTCTAACACAGAACAAAGGGAAAAAGCCTATGTAACATAGTTGATATCAAAATATGTCACTTTTTCACATTGACTGATCTAAGGAATTAATGATTATATGTTAAAGTTCCTGAATACTTATTTCTAAGGCAAAAAGGCTATGTTTGAGCATGATTTTTTCAAAGTGTTTTCTTTACATTGTTCTACATAACTCAGTTTCAGTGCTTTGAGAGGATGTGGGGAGAGACAAAATTATGATAAAACAGAACTCAAGGGTCTGTCTAACAAAGTTTCTTTGGAGCTTAACTAAGAATAAGTGGATTGGCTATTCTTCTCAAAGAAGTATTTCACTCCCCATCTTTTACTCCCTCTATATGTAACACAGGTTATATTCTATATAGAGGAAAAACATTTGTTTTCCAAAGCTGTTGCTACTTTCCTTGGTGTCATTATCATCACGGGTTTTTTTCTTCACAACATATTAAAAAGCACGTATTATGTTTGGTACAACAGTTGCTCTGTATGTTAACTGCTCCCATGCATGCAGGGTTGCCTGTTCATGCACTGCTCCCTTTCCATGCAGGGTAACCTTTCTCCAGGGTAGGGAGCCTCCAGAAATCATTGACATCACTTAGGGAAATAAAGAATGTTGCGCTGGGTCCAAAACCAGTTTGCAGGCTGTTTCTGCTGAAGTCTCTGTTTCGGAGAATGACTGTCTGCTCGTAGTTGCATTTAAGGAAGTTCTTCAGTTGGGTATTTCTCAGTGGAAGTTCCCAGCTAGTATTAGTCATAAGAAACACAAAACCACATTTCATAATCCTGTTGATACTCCTCCAGGCAACATAGAGATTTCTTATGCTGTTACCAACGAGATGAGAAAAGAAAATCCAAACTTTTTGTTCCTACACTTTGTAAAGACAAGGACTAGAATAAAATTTTAGGTTTCAGCATTCAGATACATCAAAAAAGTATAAGACATTACTTTAGACATTGCTTTTATGTTGCTTATAGTGCTCCAAATCTGTATGTCTCCCTTTTGATTTCATATCCTTTAGTTTCTGCAACCCAGAAACTAACTTTGTCTGTTACAACTTATAGGTAAATTACATACTAAGCTTCACACAGGCTCATCAATTTACATTGACTTACTATTCTTGATGTTGGGAAAAAATCATCAGCCTCACCTTTCTTCACACTAAGGAACGTCAATATTTGGTCTAAATTAATCCACAGTTCTCATTTTCTGACCAGGACAGGCATTTCAAGATCAAAACGTGCTTTTTATTTTGTGAAAGCAGAAACAGATTTAAAGAACGGTGAAACACCCCAGAGCAGCAGACTCTTTTAGCACACTATCCTTTGGGACCACAGTCTCTGTTCTGGAAAAGGTTTAACATCTGACGTGAGCCACCTAGTGTCTGAACGAATGGCTACATTAACAACTTGCAAGAAACATTTTAACCTCTTTCTAGTAGAAGCCAATTTGCATTTATAAGCCTAGAGAATCATAAAAAGGAAACAGATGAAACCTTTGACGAACTACAGCCTTTCGCAAGTTGCTCCAGCAGCAGCATCTCCTGAAAGCAGTGAGCTCCTCCCCAGACCTCAGCACAGTGTAACCAACGAGCACACTGTTAACACATCAGCACAGACTAAGGAAAATTCCCTTTAAAATATCATTTTGGAAGTAATATGAAACAGCAAACTGCATATAGATGATGTAAGTATTTAAGTAGGCTGTTTGAGCACAAACTTGAATTTTCACTATGAAAAAGGTATCAACTTGCTAATTCCCAATCACCAATAAAAAACAAACAAACAAAAACCCAAACAAAAACCTCCTACCAACAACAAAAAACCACCCCACTCTAAGTTTCTAAGCATAAGTAGTCAAAGTATGACTTTCTCTGACTCTGAACACTAAGTGAAATAAAATAGTAAAAACAAGAAACCCAGCGCTACCACTCCCAAACCCCAAATAAGAGGTTTGCAACTGTTTTTAAGATCTGCAGATTCCTAAAATCCGAATTCATTTTTAAATACGCTGATAAGTGCTTCTTCTTTCCAGCTGTCTTGTGAGGACTACTTATAGGAAAGCAATCCTGCCTTGACAATGACATAAAAGTGTGAAATATTGATGTGGGGCAGAAACACTGAAAGTTATTCCTGGAATAGCTGTAGGGAAGGGAATACAAAGAGAGAAGAGGAAGAAGCAGAAAAACAAAGAAAAAGAAAGCAAGATAAGGAAGAAAAGGACAAAAAGTAATTTGGTAATTGACTGAAAAGCAGAAAATGCTCTAAAATATCAGAGATCAAGTTAGCTATGAAATAGAGGTTTTGTACTATTTTCGTGAGTATTTTTCTTCTATTTACTCAAAGGTTGAAGGTCTCTAAGATTATCAAGATGGGTTACTGCAAAACTTGTAAAATACACCTTATTTTATTGAGGGAGAAAATGTAAAGAAAGAATGCACTAAATAATGAAGATAGAGGAAAAACCAGCTTCTCCCATGTTTTACTGTGAAAGAATATTACTGATAAAGCACTAAGAGATTCATGCATGTGATTTGAAAAGTCACATTTGTAGATGGTTGTCAGTTTTGAGTTGCTGATTTTGAGACCTTCCCAGCAAGTATACATTAAGTACATTCCTAGAATTTAATAAACAATTTTTCCCCTCTAAAGCAACTAACATGCAATGACAGTATTTCATAAGTGGTATACATGTTACAGCTCTATTTGAATTCAGGTAGCTATAATCTTAGTTGAGGTATGCTTATCATCAGACAACACCCAATTGTACTTTTCTGCACATTATCCCTCTTTAAATATAGCATCAGTTACATTATATTGCATCTACTGATCTGAATTTAAGAAATGCAGGTTACATTTCTGCTGAGATATCCATTATAATTTTAAGTGCATAACTACTTGCGAAAACTGATGAAAAGTATAACATGTAGAATTAAAGAGTTTTTTTGCCCACACCATATTTTATTTTTTAAGACCCCATTGCATGATACCTTAACGTGGACATCTCAAATGCTGTCTCTGAAAAATTAAATTGAAAACCCCTTTCTTAGGAACGTGCTAAAAGAGCAGACTCTCTTTGAATCTTAATAGTTCATTAGGACCTCACCTGAAGTTCTTCAAAATGGCCAAACAGGAAGTATATTTATAGGTTCCTTCAGCTATCTGCCTGTAAGTCTTTTTAGCCTTAGTACAGGCCAAAACAGACCAAAAGAGTTGCTAAAGTTTTTGAAGGGAAGATAAATTATAATAGAAATAATCTTCAAAAGAGCACAGAGAGCAACACCTGGCTGCTTTTTCTGCGGCTATGTCTGAGCTCAGTCCTCAGGTTTTCAAGGGCAGGGGCCCAGGGTAGGTAGGTTGTGATAGCTGGAATGCAAGTTCAGATCTGTGAGTGGGAAAAGCAAAAAGCTCTGCCCTAGAAGAAACACCACAGCTCGGCTGCATGGATATGCTCAGTGGAGTTCAGAGACAGCCGAGATTAATTCAAAATCTGTAGTGCTTCTCTGCCGCTGGCTCTGCGATTGTATCCTGGGTAAATATGTAACAAATGCCTCATGCTCTCCCATCAGCTCCCATCCTCCTACACACCTTCAGGAAAAAAAGTTGAACTTCAAAATGTGACCTAAAGAGAGAAGGGCTTGTAACAGTAGCAAAATTAAAACTGTGTGTTTCCATTCTATTCTTACCTATAGTATTCATTGCCTGCATGAAGGTAACGCAGGCGGGGAAATGCCTCCGTAGTAACCTACAACAGACCCTTCAGAGAGAAACTACCCCAAGCATGAAAAGTATAGTACTGGTGTTAGTGTATAACTTTTGTTATTTACAAATCACTCAAAGTCATGGAAAGAGAAATAGGAAAGGGCTGTGGAAGTCGGGAGCAGCACAGAGGCTGCTCGAGGGGTCTTTTGCAGCCAGGCAGAAGAGGCACAGCCCGACAGCCGGAGGCGAGCGGACAGGCTCCCATCCTTGCGCGAACACGCCGGCTCCGGCGGGCGCTGCCTTGCCCTGCCCCGACCCGGGCCCGGCGCGGGCAGCGCCCCGTCACAGGGCGGGGAGAGGCACAGCAGGAAGTCGGTTCTGGTTCCTGGGTTAAGGCGCCCAGGCAGCAGCGAGCGCCCTGTGCCGGGAGCGGCCGCGGGCTCCGTGAGGCGCTCGTAAGTCTGAGTCGCTTTGGAAACCACGCGCTCCTCGTTCTCCCGGGAGCGGCGGGGCCCGGCCCGGGACCGGAGAGCGGCCCGGGGGATGCCGAGCCGGGGGCTCCCGGGCCGCGCTTCCGCCCCCCGCTCCCGGGGTTGACGCTTCCCCCTCGGCGCCTCTCGGCCCGGCTCGGGAGCGGGGCCGGGGCGCTTCGTTGGCGTGCGGAGGCGCTCCGGGAGCGGGCAATGGGGGACGGGGTCATCGGGCTCGCTGCCGGGAGGCGGTGGCCCGGGCGGGCGAGCGCAGGAGCAGGAAGAGGCGCTGCCCCCGCGGGCAGCGGCAGCGCGGGGAGCGAACCCCAGCGCGCCGGGAATCACCGTCCCGAGCCCTGAACGCACAGAGGCTGCCCAGCTCTACCGCTGGTGCGCCGTCAGGGGCTCCTGCAGTGTTAACGACGCATCCTGCCCTCGGGCAAAGCAGGAATTGTGTCTACTCAGAACAAAATAAGGGAAAAACAAAACACAAAAATGTTCAATGAGCTCTCAGTCTCTCACAAACTATTACCTCCACAGGCTTCCAGTTCCCAAGATGATGGCAGTATAATTTACAAAATATAGCAATCGAAAAATCTGTTTTGAAAGCAGAAATATGTAGAGAAGTACTTGTGGTTGGATAGCACCTGTGTTCTCATCTCTCGTGAAACTATGAGAGGCAGGAAAGTGTATTATGAATTAATGTGCATATACACATGATTAGCTAAAACCTTTCATAATATAAGGTGGTTTTTGAGGCAATATGAAAACTAGTAAGGAAACTAGTGAGCTGTGGAGCTGGGATTGCAGCTGAAATATGTTGCTAATCTGTGTTGGAGCTTTTTTAGCATTTGACTAAGAAAATGCATATTACTATTTATTTTTTTCCCACCACCTATTCAACAAAATGTTTTTGTTTTGAAGCAAATTATTTTAAGACAATCTGGAGATTTCAATTGGTGTGTTTACTTAGAAGTTTGTCTTGCAACATTAGCTATACCCAGTGGTTATCCAGTGTACAAGTCTTGAGTCAAATATGAAATTCCAGTTGTCATTGCCATAGCTCCAGCAGCATAGCACTCACAGGTATTCACGCTTGCAGGACAACCTCTGTAACTAATCTCTTCCTCTAGTTCTGTCCCTGTTAGAATAGATGCAGCATTTTGTAGTGCTGCATCTCTGCTGACTACATATTGCTGTTAATGATTGTGAAAGTCTTTAGGATCTAATGATGTTACATCCAGAATGTAAATTGCTAAAGATCAGGATTGTCAGCTTTGAGCTGAATTATGTTCCAGCTGCCGTTTGGATACAGCATAACTAATCATAACTGATTAAAATAGCAGGGATATTTGGGTTGGGGTTTTTTGGTTTGTTGGTTTCGGGGGGGTTTTTTTAGGGCTGTTGGGAGGGAGTTTTTCCCTCCTCATTGGATTCAGAGAGAAGGGTAAATGACAAGGAACAGTTGGCAAATTCCCTGATAAATATTGATGCCTATGGAGGAGAAGCAGGAAAATGAGCCAGTTTTTCTAACTGCAAGGAGTTCTGGATATGAGACAGATAACATAAGAAGCAGTTATTTATTCCAGCAGCAGGCAACCCGGGGTGTGACTACAGAGTAGTTTAATCCAATCTAAATCTAGACTGCGGCAGTCCTGCCCACGGCTAGTCGCATGTTCCCACTGCCTCCTTGTGCTGGTAATAGTGCTCCAGCAGCCTTGCAGAGAGCTAGCTCCAGTTTTAATTTCGAGGTTGGTTTTTTTAGGGGGTTTGTTGTTGCTTTTTTGAGGAAGTAGGGAGCTACTTCGGCATTCTCAACTTGTAGCATAGAAGTACTTATAGTGGTACCAGTAAGCAGCAAAAATGTAAGGCCAGAGATGGGGGAAGGCTAGCCTATCCTTCTCAGTGGCAGTGCAGACTTGTGACACTGTTACGTAACTGTGACTTCATGTTACACTTTAAAGGCAGTGCTGCTGTTGAGCACAGGTATTCTGTCTGCCGCTTGTGGATTTCTGTCCCTGTGCAGGCTTCCTTGTGTTATCATGCCATTTGAAGTGGTCTGTGGATCTGACCTGCATTAAAACTAAGGCAGCAAAAATACATTTCATATTTCGTTTTAAACTGGATTGGTTTGCTGGTACGGTTTACAGAAAGGTTGCTTGTGCTGGAAGAAAGGGAAGGGTAAGGTTGAAGAAGAATGTCTAAGGTATGAGGTGAAGACAGGACCAATTCTTCTAGTTACAGTGCCATCTTAAAGTGTCACTAGCAATGACTTTCACTGACCTTTTCTTATTGCATTTGAAAGTTTAGGGAGCTACCAGTGAGTTATTTTTCCATACCAAGTAGAAAATCAGGCACTGTTCTACAGTTCTGCCTGTTGTATCAATTACTTTTGATACCATCAGTCCAGATGACAGCAGCACTCTATATTAATGTTCCCAGTCACGATGAATGACTAAAAGGCTGGAAATTAGGTAGAAGTTTTAAATACTGATGTTCAAATGGAGGTTTGAGTTTGCATGAATGAATTAAAACCTTCATTTTCTGTGAACTGTGAGTCACATGAAGCTGAGCCCTATTCTCTCCATTAGAAGCTGAACGTAATTTCTTAAATCCCATTGCACTCATTTTTTAAGTTCTCTCTTATATGTACAGGACATGCCATTTACTAGGTAAGTTGTTAACAGTGGAGGATTTCAGAAGAGTACAAAATCAATACTGATGCAAGCTTTGCAAGCTTTTAAAGATTGTGAGAACACACTTTCAGTCACTTTCAGCTATAACAATGCCCTCTGCAGTTTAGCACCTGTCCCTAAAGGCAGATATAATATCTGATTTTATTCATTGAACTACACAGAACAGTCCTTAATTTGAAAAGGAAGGAAAGCTTACCCATTTAGTTAAAGGTGTGCCCCAGATATGAGCATGAATATTCTGTTTAGTGAAGGGATACTGTTTGGGAGAGGAAGAAGGTGGATGAAGTAGCCTGTGTTACTAACAATGCTTTGAGACATGAGTATGAACAGTTAGAGATTATAAACTACTGAACTGGTGTTTAGGAAAACAAAACAAGTCAAAACAAACAAAGCCTTCCATGTGAAACAATGTAGGCCTTTTATGCAAAACTTGTAAACCTGGATTTCAGTAACATTTTTTACATCAAAGAATCCCTAAAAAATTCCAAGTTATTAAAGAATTTGTTCACTTTGCTGCTATTAAACTACAGCATTCCAGAGGTGAGATAGAATTGCTTTTCCTGTAGGAACATATCAGTAAAATAAAATTTGCAGGACAGAAAAGTGTGATGTCCATACAATATTCTGCTGAACCTTCTAGAAAAGTAAGATCGCATTTCTGTATTCGAACTCTATGATAGGGAAGATATTCAAAAGCAAGGAAAGATGAACAAAATCTTCAAGCTGCAATCTTCAAAATTTTGAGCAGTGTACAAGGCAAGTTACCCTCATTCTCTTCTTGCTGGCTTATCCTCATGTGACTTTCTTCAGTAGTATTTGTGGTTTATGCATAATTCCAGGAGACAGTGAGAGGTGATAGTAGCAGTCCAGACTGCTTTAAATACCAGGAGAGATGAAATTGCTATTTATTTTTTTTTCTTAATGATGCTTTCTTTTTTGGGGGGGGGCATGGGGTGGGGGGTTGAGACTTCACTAACTTGTTCTCTACTGTACTTGTATGATGCTAAATTTTGGTATTAAAATTAGTATAATTTATTACTATAGAAGCAAACTACCTGTGTTTGCAAAGATCTTGAACTTGGAGTCTGACTTTTAATAATGTTCTAGTCTTATGTGTCAAAGTTCATGAGCTGTAGTTTTGGGAGTTGTTACTGAAATTGTACACAGTGTAAAAAGTTCTTAATATTGTGTGAAAAGGTCCAAGTCTCAATAATTCATACTGGTTGGTGTCACTGATATTTAGATGAAAGATATTTTAACTCTACCTTAGGGTAGTTTATGTTAACATTTTCAATTTGACACAGAATAGGATACGTTTGTGTGACCTAGTTGAGTTTTTATCTTTTTATTTCTTAATGCTGTTGGGAAAGATGTGTGCTAATGTCTTTACGAACAATTCCATGGATATGGGTGTTAAGGTCTTTGAAATAGATCTTACTGTCTTTACCAACTTTAAGAAGCAGGTTTGTTGCAGAGCCCAGACAGTTTGACTCCTGAAACAGACAAATGGGTCCTTACAAGCCTGAATTTCTGAACTTTGGGGTAAAATGACAGGTTCAAGGGGGGATATGTGGTAGGCAGCTCGGGAAGATTGCACCTTCCTAGTACCTCAGCCAGCAGAAAAGGGAAGAGGGCAATGTGTGGCCAGGAGTTCAGGATAAAAGGAGGTTGTGTTGCCAAAATCAAGAGACAGAAAAAACCCCACATTCCCCAGTGGAGTCTCTTCCTCCCTTTATTCAAATAAAGTTGCAGGACTGCTCTGTTTCTGGACATTGGCTTTTCATAGCACAATGCTAAAAGCTGAGTTTAGCTTTGGTTATTAATGCTGTCTTTTTCTCACAATTATGCAAATGTTAAAATTTTGGTGATGACATAAAATCAGGTAACTGATAATCTGCACCAATTTTAAGTCTCAGTCATAAACACTGTAACTACAGATACATTTATACATTCTATACATCCAGAATTTGATTCAGAGTTAAGGTACTTTTGTTTGTCTTTTGTTTAAACCTATCCATGAACATAAAATTAAACACTGGGGTGATCAGAACTATAATTCAAGCTATGCTGTTAATGGTCAGACATACTGCACATATCAGTTGAATACAACAGTGGTATAAGTCATGCTTATATATGATTTTAGTTACATAATACTGTTTCTTAGTGTTCTTTCTTTTTCTTTCTGATTACTTTTCAGGTCTGTTAACTTGACCATCTTTCCAGGGATGAAACAACATTGGGAATTATGGACAAAAACATTGGAGAGCAGCTTAACAGAGCTTATGAAGCCTTTCGACAAGCATGCATGGAGAGGGACCATGCTGTGAAAGAACTCCAGCAAAAAGTAGGTGTTGGATTCTGAATTCTATCTTTAAAGCCATCCTTCCCATGAAGGATGGTAGTACATGTAGATACCAGTTTCACTTTAGCTATGCACACTTTAGTGCATCTGTTAAAGTTGGAAATTGCCATTATGAAACCATGCCAGTACATTGCAAAGTAACTCATTAGGCTTTGAATTTAGTAGGTGGGATTCTGGTTTTTGACCTTGGATTTTTTTGTATTTTTTATTAGTTTTAAAGGTTGGAAAAGTGTTGTCTGTTTTGGAGGATTAATGAAATCTTCTAATGTAAAGACAGCAAAGATGTACATAAAATTTACCTAACTTTAATGAAGTACTTGTTGGAATTTAATTTGCATTCTTAAAAATATAAATAACTTAAATTAAACCAGTTTTTGTGACAAATGAATCTGAAAGTTGTTAGAATAAGTATCCCTCTTTTAAAAATAATAATCTGTACATTTATTCTTTAATGAAGTAACAGATATTTTCTGGAGGCATTCTGACCAATAAGAAGCGCCTCTGAAGTTTTAGTTAATCTGTTGCAGAAAACATTAGCTCAGTCAAAACTCCTCTAGAACTTCTCAAGTAGGACAGCATATTTCAAAGCTATCAGGTTTGGGCTTTGTCACAGTCAATTTATCATGCATATTCTGCCCAGCAATGGAACCTGTGTAACAGAAAGGCTTGAATGTTTTCGTTGCTACAAGACTTTCTGATACTCAGTAGAACTGGTAGGCTGGGACTTTGTTCAGGGGCCAATGAACCGTAATCCATGTAATGGACTAGTCGTGGAGCAGTAGTAGAATTGGAAGCAGGGAAGGATATAATAGAGAATATTTGGATATCTGGGTCCAATCTTGCCATCTCCCTGCATGGCAAAATAAACTAGCCAAGGCATCACAGAACACATTCCAAGTCAGTCATGTGTGCAATCATCCACTGTGCAGTCTGTCTCTATTCATAGTCTTGCAGCAGTGCTGGTGTAAATCTGTAGAGGTTTCTATACATAACAAGCATAAGTAGTGTGATTTTTGTGCTGAAATTGCAGCTAATTAACAAAAGGCAAGAGATTTTAGAATGTCTAGGGTTCTTTTAAATTGTCTCTTAGGATGAACTATTAGCTATTTGAAGGAAAGACTGTTAATACTCCTGAATCATCTAAAAGTACATAAAAGAATCTTCTGACCAAGAAACAAGGCATTGAGTATAAGATGAGATAGTCCTTCTAAGGTCTATGCAAGAAAGCCAGAGAAGTGTGAGGTCATCAGTACTAAGTGAACTAATTGCTTGCAAGATTGCTCTCTACATTTTCACTGGTTCCTAAATTAAAAATTTAAAGCCTTTGATAAAAGATTACTACCAGTTTAAATCTTTGTCATAATCAAACTTTCAATAGTTGAATTTTATGATTCCAAAAGAGGACAAAAGTATTTTTTTCAGGAGTTGATATTAAAATTACTTTGGTTTTATTTGTGTTGCTTTTTTTTAACCAAACTCCTGTTTTTTGAATGACCTTTGTACAGTGCTTTACTCTAGTACCTTCCTCTGTTCATTGTGTGGCTTCCACACACTGTTGGATTGTCCACCATGCTGTTGTTAACAGTTTACTACTTAAGTTACCGATAGGCCACTTGTTTTGCCAGTCTCTAGAGCTGGGAGCCATGTCAAGCACACAGAAGCCAGAGTCATCTCGGCCAGATGGTGTTTGATACAGATGGATGGTTGGTTGTCATGCAGATCTTCTAGTTGGTAACTTGTTGCTGCCATCTGACTCAAGGAATAATTTGTGCACACTGGCTGTCAAAAGCATCTTCTCTTCTGTCTGTTTTAGCTGTCATGTCTGTGCTCTGTACAGAAGTGTTGACAAGACATTGCTGTTGTACATTTTCAATTTGGTTCTCAGTGATTTTTCTGCTTCATGAGGTCTCTTATAGCTGCTGGAGTGTACTGCTCTTTGATCACTTTTTTTTTTTTTTTTTTTTTTTTTCAAAAAGACACAACAGAAAATCCTCTCATAGTACAACTACTACCTGGCCTTTTAAAATCAATTTTGCTTGTAGATTTTTTTCCTGCCTGCTTTTTAGACAAACACAGCGGACAGTAGCAGGGTATAGAATTTAAACATGGCTGAGATTTGAGAATTAGATAGCACTATGTATAAACTATGAATAGATGTGAAAACAATAAACAATGCTAAGTCCTGTCCCAGATGGTGACAGGTGGTAACCTGTTCAGTAACAGACACATTCCTAATTTCAGAAAAATTCAGTGCTTTCCTGAAAGTTTTCTTCTTGGGATTTCACAAGTTTTCTTGTTTGTTTTTAGCACTGATGTAACTGCAGCATTAGGCATGTGCTAATGAAACAATAGTTTTGAATATTAGCATCTTCCTGCCATTCATTCCATTAATGGACTGTCTAGCAAAATTTATAGTTTGATGAAATACAAGCAGTAGTATTAGAGGAGTCTGTGTGGCCTGTTTGCAGTATGAGTTGTAGTATTGGAGACAAAGCATGGGGCTTTTTGCTTACCTTCCTCCCCAGCCCCATTATGTAAATTACAAAAACTAGTCCACTGCATTCAAAGAAACATACAAAACTGTTCATAGGCAGTCAAAATGGTTTGCAGAGTATCTCTTGTATGGAATTAACAATGTTGTTGCTTTCCATTTAAAAACTATCTTTTTAAAAGTCAATTTTTATATAATTTGTTAGAAAATATGGTGGGAAAATTACTGTTTTCTATAGATTAACTAGCTGACAAGCATTCTGAAGGATACTAAAATTTTAATTTAAGCCTGATGTATTCTACATCTGTAAGTGAAGAATCCTAACTTAAAAGTTACCCTTTACAACTGCCACAGCTGAAAGAGTTAGTAAAACTCAGGGGTTATTTCCTATAATACCTTTTCTAATCAGTACAGCCCCAAGAAGATGGACTTGCCAAAGGTTTTTACACAGAGGACCACAACTATAGTTATCTTTAAAAATCAGAACTGCCTTTTACATGCCAAATAGGAGACCCCTAGTCAAAACAGAATTAAGATTAATGCTAATTAAATTATATTTGCAGACAGAAAACTACATGCAGCAAATACGTGAACAGCAGGAAAAGATAGAGCTTCAAAACAGCATTATTGCAAAACTGAAATCACAGTTGGCTGCTCTGAATGCTAATAGAGGTATGTACTCCAGTTTGCACATTATTGCTTTTTATGCTGTGTTGCACTGATGAATAGTTCTGACTTTGTTGCTTCAGTTTTTACAATATACATATTTCAAATGAGTATCATACTTTCCTGTGAATGTGAGAGTTAACACAAATGTGCCGTTTCAAGATCTATTTATAAAATTCAACACTTCTGGGGTCTCTCTTTATCCTCTTCAAGAAATGGTGAGATTTTCTATAGAGGTAGAATCTGCTTACACTGGAGCCAATAGAAGTTATGAAAATATGGGTTCAAATCATTCACTACAATTGTTTTTTTAAATTGTTGCATAATTATTTTATACTTACCTGTTAGTAAGTTTATCTCAGGTTTTTCTAGATGTGAGTGCTATGATTATATGTCTTTTATGTAAGATGAGTCTTGTGATGCTAATTTTATTGCATAACCAGAACTTTATAGGCAGGTAATTCTCTTTCAAATCAAATAGTCATTGATGGATAATTTTTCACTGTTTGACTGTATTACACAAATAAGAGAAAAGAGTCAAAGTAACCATGTGTTAATCTGCCATGCTCATTAAATATTTATTCACACTAGCCTAACACTCCTGGTTTTCATAAATACTAGCAAAGTGGCTGACTTTTATTTTTAAGAGTACATGTACATTTCTTTATTGCCGATTTAGTCTTGCATTGTCTCTAAGCACAGAATTTAGCTTCTCGTGCTTGTTTAATATGAAGGCTTACTCAGAAAATATAAAGAAGTTAATATAAGTCTAGCTTCTTTTAATTTTGCTTATACTTAGAAGCTGACTGTGAAAAATGCAGCGATAGTCAGTTGCTTTTTTTTTCATTTAAGGCAATGCGCATCCTTACATTCTGATGCATGAAGACGTTGAAACATCCAACTTACCTTTCAGCCAGCTCTCTGAAAAACTGAACATAGCAAAGCAAAGAGAAAAATTCCTAAAGGTATGTCATCTGCAGTAAGTTCACTTTTGTGCTGTGATTATACTATGAGAACCTATATACTATGAGAACTTATTAAAAGATAAGTGAGATTTTTAGTGGTGCCTTTGGACTGCACATGAAGTGCGTAAGTGTTGTGCCACTGCAGCATATCAGTGCAGTTCAGTTCACATTAGGTGAAGTAAGCATCATCTTTGGTCCTTCCCAGTGAAATCTCTGTTTGGCCATCAAGCTCTCTAGAACAGTTTTGATCATAAAGCAGGAACTTAGTTGCTTATTTATTTCTTAACTTGCCAAAACCCAAAAAAGGGCTTTTTCTGTCTTACAAGAGCATTTCACATTGCAAAGAGTCTCTGTATTTTTACAAAAGATGGAGAATCTGCACTCAAAAAGTGATGGAGTGGGAAGTGAATGGTCCATTGCTCCAGAGATGCTAATTTGTTTGGGTTTTTTAAATAGCGAGTGTTAAGATGATGTCTCTTCTGCAGCCTATTGAGTGTAACCGGAATAAGAGTAAAGGAATACCTCAGAATAGCTGGGAAATGTCTTGAATGGATTTTACATATTGAGGAAAGACTGTGACAGATGCACAAAGTTGCATTGTTCTTATCGTAAATAATGTGGTTTCTGAGAACTGTCTTGTAACATAAAGTCTCTTATTTTGGAATGTGAATCTCCATAGCTCCATAGCAGAGACTTTCTAAGGGTTGTAAAAAGACCCTTGTGAGAAATCAGACATGAGAATTAAAACCAGTAAATTTCAGGATTTATTTCCTAAGCTACAAGCAAATTAATTTTGCTAAATTCAGAGAAACACATTTTTTATCAGAAATGTAATTCCATTACATCCAAAAAGAAATTTCATTGGATAACTGGTACTTGCTTAGTTATCCTGAAGGAATCTTCCATGAGACTAAGTCTTTGAAAAATTTTAAACATACTGTCAGCAAATATTTATGTACACTTCTTTTCTGTTTAAAAGTCTTTATATAATTTTTGTACACCAGAATCTGTAATTATAAAATGTCATTTCTTTCCTAATCTTTGCACTTACTTGGATTAAAACATAGCTGAAGGGTTAATTCTTTGATGGAACATCTTTGCATATTTTTGCAGTTTGCTTTTTATGCTGGATAAAAATTATATCTTAGGGTTGCACATGAAGATCTGACCAAGTCTAGTATTTCATACTCTTCTTTCTGAATGCTTACTAAAGAAAAATAGTTTTAAGCAACTTAGTCATATAATGAGTTAGGAATGAAATGAAGCTGTGTTACCTGCTTTTCTTATTGGTAAACACTGAAATAATGTCATCTCTACAAGAGATGATAGGCAATGTATGAGAAGCTGGAATCATTATTTCTGGGGCTACTTTCCTAATGGAATGTGGATTATTTTCTTTATCTGCATATTTGTTCTGTGTAGCCCGTTACTGCAGTTACCTCTCAGCAACAGGTATTTCATCTGGATATTGCTTCTTCTGTTCCATGAACAGAAATATTTCTGAAATACCTACATGCACAATCAACTATATAAGTCTGTCTGCATGGTGGTGCATTTAAACCCAGGCACATTGCTATTCAAATAAGGTCTTTTAGGAGGGGATGTGTAGAGTTGGGTTGACCTAGCCTATTCTATGTTCCTGTTACTGGGAAAAAGCATGGAGCTTGAGGAAAGTATGTTTGAGTGGACAAAGGCTGCCTTCTGCAGAGGCACGTGGATATATTTGCACCATCCTCCCAATGCAGGGAGGACCCTAATGTTTGCTACTGTGTCTAGTAGACTTGCAGTGATGTGGCAAGTGATACAAAAATGTCCAGATAGCACAGCAGAGGCACACACTTGTATAGATCTGGCTGTGTCTTGGCCATGCAATTATGGCTACGAGTGAAGATGTATAGCAGTGTCTCTGCACAAGTTATCATTTTATTGAATAAAAAAAAAAAACACAGAAAGCCAATGGAATTAATGCTTCAAGGGAAAATTGGACAACTCCATGGAAGAGACATCTGTTAAGAGTTAATAAATAGATAGAAACTATTACTAAGAAGATCTGGGAATTTATTAACAGATATATCATGAATGTCTCCTTTTTTTTCCCCAGATATCATATTTTGAGATCTCTTAAACTGAAAATCCACCATCCTGTCACTGACCCAGTATAGTTTTCTTGTATGTAATTCAATAAAGTATTGGCTTTTTCAGGTATTGAAATTTGGAAGTTTAAATATTCTATTTGAAAGCCTGTATTTTTCTGATCATATTCTATCCACATTTTTCTCTAAACCACATAAATTATTCCTACAACCACTGTCCTCTACAGTGTCCCTGAAGTCCAGTCTCTCCCATGGCAGAAGATGCTTGGGTTTATTTATACCTTTTGAAACTGAAATTTACTAAGTCCAGTGTGATTTTTCAGTCGACTGTATTCTGTCCCACTTAAGTTAATAGAAATCCTGAATTGATTGTAATAGGTGCATGATTACAGCTTAAATTTCAGAGGTTTAAAATGAGGGAGGAGCTATATTTTCTTTGTTATCTAGTAGGTGGCAATACATGTGTATTTTATAAGCTGTTGTCAAGGTCTGTTGCCTGTGTGTCATAAAACACTTTAGGATTTTTTTTTTTTTTTGTTCACGTTTATCTTCACTGAAAGAGGTGAGTGGGCCAGATCAGCTTGGTGGTCAGTACCAAGCTATATACAAGATTACCAGAATTTTTCAGCCCTCTGCTTGAGAAGACCAAAGAGCCCTATATTGCTGCCTAGTTTTGAGATCCTGGCTAAACTTTGTTAAGTAGGAAGAATTGGGATCCAGCTACTGTCTCAGAGCCAAAGCTGTGCAGCAAACCAAAAACCATAGAGATGAGATGATGTCAAACTTCTACTTTTTAGTACAGTCAGACATCAGATCCTTGTGAACTCAATAAGACATGAAGCTAAAGTCAATTCCTGTGACAAGAAAACATGCTAATGATCCCATTTTGCTGGTTCAAGAATTTCAGTATTAAACACTGGAATTTGTTCATCAAGAGTGTCTTATGCCATGAAAAGGAGGAGGAAACTGTGTGTCAGGAATGAATGCTGCAAATGTTATACAAACTCTTCATCATGCGATGAATGTCTAGCTCTTCTTTTTTTGTGCAGGACATAAGCAGAGGAATGGCAGGCATATAGTAGCCATCTTTACATTCTAAATTATGGGGCTAAAATTACTTATATAACTAAGAGCAGCTACTGCAGCTGTCTTGTGGAGTTCTGTGTTCCAGCCCATACCAACTTCGCTACTGTCACTTTGTTTCCTATTTTTATTATAGGCTGATAATATTGTGCATTTAGCTGTTCTTTGCTGGTGGTATGATACATGCAGTAGGATTAGCCCTAATATAAGCTATAAGAAATTCTGGTATTGATAGACTTTTCTTCTATTGTTTCATCTGTTTGGTCTATCTCTACCCAATAATAGAGAAGAGTTCATGGGAAAACTGTTAAAAGTCACAGTTAATATTCCTTGAGACCACTTACAGTTAATCAGTTGAATTGTGTTTTTCCTTGAAACTACCTGACAATTTGTTTGTTTTAGGAAGCCACTGAAACAAGCCATTGTAGCACAGTTCAGGGAAAAATAAAGGGACCTGCCTATGCTGCAGTACAGTCTGGGGGCTGACTGGCTGTGGAGCAGCTCTGCCGGAAAAGAGCTGGGATCTTGTTAGATCTTGAGCATGAGCCAGCAGTGTGTCCTGACAGAAAAGAAGGGCAACTGCTCCCTGTGTTATATTAACAGGAGCACAGCTAGCACACCCAGGGAAGTGAGTATCTCCCTCTATTCAGTGTTCACTGGACTGCATCTAGAATACTACATCAGGCTTAGAGACTTCCAGTACAGGAAAAACTGACAAACTACAATGAGTTCAGCAGAAGTAACTGAAGTAACTGGGGGCTGGAGTACATATCCCATGAGAAGATGCAGAAACTGCCCTTGTCCAGCCTGGAGAAGAGGTGGCTTCAGGGAAAGCTAATAGCATTCCAGTACCTACATTCAGGTTATCAGGTAGATGGAGACAGGCTCTTAATGATGATGCATGGCAGGAGGACAAGAGACAATGGGCAGATGAAACAGGAAAGGTTCAGGCTGAACATAGGGGAAAACATTACACCATGAGGACAGCCAGGCATGGGAAAAGGTTGCCCAGAGAGGTTGTGCAGTCTCCATCCTTAGGTAATTCAAGACGAAACTGAGTAACCTGATCAGACATTATAACTGACTCTGATTTGATAAGAAGCTAGAGAACCCTGGAAGTCCCTTCCAATGCTGGTTATCCTCTGATCCTATAAAGCCTCTGCAAAAAAAAAGATACTTATCTGTTCATAATACATATGTAACCACTTTGCTGGCAGCTAATACCAGCATGCTTAAAAGATCCATTGTGTTGCCAAGTACTTAACTGAGCAGGTATGACCTGTGTGATATATTTATAAAGTTTATAAAGCTTATGAAGTTTATCAAGCATTAGCTTTGTAGTCTTCAGCCAGTTTATAAGGGTTACCACATCATTGCAAACCACCAGGCACAGTATTGGAAACTCTTTAAGATCATCAAGCTATAAAGGGTTGTATTATTGAAAGATCCCAAAAGGTGTAATTGTTTCTCCAGTATTTTTCCTGGTACCCTGATGGTGCACAGGAATGATGATTTCCATCAGTATGTACTGATATGTCTTCACTGTAACATGTTGCACAGCTCTTCTTGTGTGGCTTTTTTCCCTACTTGCTTAAAACTTGTCCTCACTTCCTGCAGATGCAGGAGAAATGGAGAACTACTGGCCTTTACTGCAGTGCCTCCAGTTATCTGAAGGCCTTTGAAAGCCAACATGTGAATTGAAACTGTAATAGTCTCAAAGAGATAAATTATGCTGTATCACAGGCTCAGTGAGTTATTTTACTGTCCTTAAGATATAATTGCTCCTCAAGGGCAAGCGTTACCTTTGATGAAAACGTTTTCCTAGGTGTTTGGATTTCCAGCAAATAATGATGAAGGAAAACACAGGAGAAGCTGTATACCCTTACCTTATTTAAATGGGAAATTGAATTTTCTGACCTGTCAGAAATGAAAAGTGTAGAAGAGTTAGGATTAAGGAGTTTTGCTGGGATTGAAACATGCCAATTTTAGACAATGTTTGGAAGTCGCTGAGCAGAAGAGGCTTAATCTGGATCCTTAAGATACCACCCAAGTCTGGAGTTGCATTGAAGCTCTTACTGTAGATTTGCTATTCAAAGCTGTAATTGAGACTATAAACCAATGCCTTCAAAACTATTTTTCTGCAGGTTTTTCTTCTTTATCCAGCTAGTATAACTTTCTGAGGCTAAACACTTGTGTCAGCTGTATGTACATACATCCATGCTTAGCCAGCTGGTGTCTAGGTAAACCAATTCTGGACCTATCCCTGCATGGCTGTCTTTGTCTAGTAGGGTAGCCCCTACCTACCTTTCCTAATCTAAATGCACAACCTCACTCCATGTAAGTTCCATTTGAAAATAAAACAAAAGGTCTTGAAAAAGCACTTAGTTGCTTCTTTCCTCTGCATCTTACCCTACCTGTCTACAGACTATTTAAGTGCATTTCACTTACATTCCTCTTTAAGAGTTAACCCTTTGGGCATACTTCTCTTGGAGAGACAATCATGGGGCTTGGGGACACTTTTTGTTACACTTGATACAATTCCCTAAATTTCATAGAGATTTTCATAGCAGCAGTTTTTAACTGCAGGTTTTTCCTTGGAAACTTTTGCAGCTACTATCTTTGAGCATATTAAAAAAATGGTTGGTTATTTTCTTCTTTATTCCACAAAAATCCCACAAAGTTAAAAGTATCATTAATTACTAGATGGATCATCAAAGTGAGAACAGCCAGGGCATTTTATTTCACAAATCTTTACAGGACTGAAATATTTGCAAAACAATTCTGGTTACGCATAAAGATTGGAGGATGAGAGGAGAGCAGCCCTGCAGAAAGACATCTGCAGTTTGGATTGATGACAAGTTGACAGGAGTCAATAGTGTGTCATGGCAGCCAAAAGGGCCACCTGTGTCCTGGGGGGCATCAGACCCAGCATCACCAGCCAGGCAAGGGATGGGATTGTCCCGCTCTGCTCTGCACTGCTGTAGCCCCACCTCGAGCACTGTGTGCAGGTTTGGGTGCCACAAAAAGAACATCACACTATTACATCATGTCCAGAGGAGGGCGACCAAGATGATGAAAAGTTTTGAGGGCCAGCTTTAGGAGGAGCAGCTGAGGTCACTTGTTTGTTGAGCCTGGAAGAGAAGGCTCAGGGGTGACCTTATCGCAGTTGACAGCTCCCTCGAGGGCAGCAGTGGATGGGGAGGTGTTGCTCTCCTCTCCCTGGTGAGCAGCGACAGGACATGAGGCAACAGAATGAAGTCACATCAGGGGAAGTCCAGGTTGGACATTAGGAAAGGGCCTTTCACTGAGACAGTTGTCAGTCACTGGAACAGGCTCTCCAGGGAAGCTGTCATGGCACCGAGCCTCTCAGAATTCACAGTGTCTGGACAATGCTCTTAGTTCTGTGGTTTAGGTTTAGGTAGTCCTGTGAGGGGCAGGGAGTTGGACTTGATCCGTATGGGTCCCTTCCAATTGGAGATATTCTAGGATTCTGTGATTATGTTCTTGGGTTTGCTCAATTTGTGGAATTATCACCATATTCAAAATGGTATAAGATTGAAATTAACTAAATTCTATTTTATGTATTATATATGTAAAATATTATACATAAAATGTTAATGTAAATGATACAGCAAGTGAACCAAAAAAAATGTCTTTATTTTGTATAAACACTAGTATGACTTTCAGAAATTCAGAAGATACAGTTGTTTCAAGTAATCACCTATGATGAATTACAGCTATGTGTAGTGGTAGAAGGTCTTTACTATCAATTGAAAATTATTATTGTAATAAACAAGACTGACCCTTACCTATGATGCAAAACCTACATTTACCTTATTATAGACTGCTGAATACTGACATTCCACAATTTATTATTTTTACTGGTGTTTCTAAAATTATTTTTTAGGAACAGTTAGACAGTGAGAGCATGAAATTGAAGCAACTTGAGGACAAAAGCAATCAAAAGGAAAGGAAGCTTTTATCTATTATTTCCAATCAAGATGATAAAATAAGAAATCTGGAAAGCAAATTGCAAGAATTAAATGAAGCGCAAAAGGGTATACAGATGCCAACGTATAAAAGGGAGGTAAGATAAGAAACCAAGTAGAGATAAAATAAAAAAGACAAACATTTGTAAATTATTATTTCCTTCAAACATTAAATGTTTGGAATTCGTACTAATTATTCTAATAAACTTATTTTAAATTTCATCATTCTGTAATTACTAGGAAATTGTGAAATTACACAAAGCACATAGGATACAACATTAAATACATATTGGTTAGTTGGTATGTTAATTATTTTATGGTATGTCTCGAAAATTTTCATATTTGTGAAAACTCCAAATTAGCATTTCTGGTTTATAATTTTCAGTTGGAAGTTTTCACCAAAACTGAGTTGATTTTTTCATTTTTATGCCATCCTATTTTTGTTACAGAATAGCATCCGAGGTGCTATTCTGTCCTTGTGGGATAGCTAGAGTGTAGTGATTGATGTGAATCTAATCACATATTCAGATATTAGCTACCTAATTTAGAGTGAGCACAGGTAAGCGTAGGAGCACAGCAGCACAGAACTTGTTGCTATTAGACTTCCTAAGCATTGCTTAGCTTACTGGGGCAAGGACTTGTATCCTGTGTTGCTGAGGGTAAGGCAGCTCAGATGCACCTACAGGAGCTGCAGCTGCACCTGTGAGACACACCTGTGGTTACAGGCAATGTATCAGCTTATACAGATTTCTAAGCTTACACATATTTGAAATCAGCTGATTTGGCAGGCGTGCTCAAGTCCGTGTCTGACTTGGAACACATATGAACTACCCAGGCCATCTGGTAATGTAGCTCTAGTGGAACTGAAGCTTAGTGACTGGTTATTATGAAAACTTCCCTTAATGCCTGGCAGATGTAAAACTATGTAATACTGGAGTGAACCACACGGTGGTAGTCAAAGTTAATAACTTATTTAAAAAACTGCTAGAACTCCTGACATATGAGCTTCCAATGTGTTCACTGAAATTTTCAGTGAAATTGATTTTTAAGAGGTAAAATATCTGGGTAACAAGCTTATACAAAAGACAGAATCTTACCTTATACCTGACTGAAAACGAATTACAATCAAGCAATATTCTTAGAACTAGTTCCCTTTCAAGGGAGTATGAGCAGAGAAATCCATAAATGAGTTAATAAGTTAACCTAAAAGGAACTAGGAATTTCATACAAACTGCTTTTGTCATTTTGACAATGCTTTGACAAAGCTTTTGACAAAGCTTTCAATGGGACTAGGTGAAGGACCCCATGACATTTTTACTCATATCAAGGTGAAGCGCAAAATTAATATGCTAATGTGCTCAATATTTTCATATTTTATTTCAAGGTGAAAAGTAAGAGAGTTGTTCCAGATAAGCCTGAATTATCTCTAGGGATCTCTGGTATTTCACCTGAAAGGTAAATACTTCTGCAGCATTTTTCAAATTTGCTTTTTGCTTTTCTGCAGTTAAGTAAGGCCAGCTATTGCCCTCTTTTCTATACAGTACTTTAAGAACTGGCTGGGAGGGGGAGCGTCAAAGGTCAAAGAGCTAATGCAGGAAGATAATAGAGCCAACAACTATGTGCAAACATAGCTGGGACTTTACAAGTATGGAGGGTTAAGCTGGGAGGGAGAAAGAGAGCTTCTTGGTTCAGCAGGAGATTAAACTCTGGGAAACAGCAGTGGATGTTAATGCTGGGGTTTGGATAAGTCCTAACTGCCTTGCATTAACTCTTCTGGACAGGAATGTACAGCCATTATGGATTAATTGATGGCAGCACAGCATAGGAGCCTGCTGTGCTGCCAGGAAGAGGTCTGATAGGCAGCATGAAGCAGCATGAATAATTCTTGGCCTGATCCATCCTAAATGAGATAGTTTGAAACCAAGTTTATCTGTAAGCTGAAGCTAGGAAGCCCCTGCTATGACTAAGGGGTCAAAAAGAGTAGATTTCCTCTTCTGCCAGTGATTTTGGAAAAATATTGACCAAAATCTTAGGTTTGCATTTCTCATAGGATTGGAAGTAATGTCATTTTTAACAACTTTGCTGGGGTCAAATGGAAGATTCTCTAAGGTGAGGTTAGCGGAGTATTAAGAGAAAGTATCAAATTCTTGCCTAGGCATCTGCTTTGAACCACTCCCATACACAGACTAGGTGAACCACATGGATCTTTAGTCTGGCTCAGTACTCTTTTATGATAAGAAAGAGAGGAAATTAAGACTGTAATATGAGAAAGACTTGTTTGTCTTTTTGATTTATATCTAAAAATGAAAAACCTTTACCTGTCTTCTGTCTCCCTGCTCTCAAATAGCTTCCTTACTGTTTTCTTGGAAAGAGGTATGTGACTGGTAAGATTACTGGTAATCATACACCAGTGAGATTATGCTATCACAAATGTCTAAAATATTCAGACTGCTTCTTCTAATCATAGCTATATTTTAAAGTTCTGATTAGAAACTTAAAATTTGTTTATTTCTTCTTTATCAAAACATCTGGAAAATCATCAGAATGTGTTAACAGTATCAATTTTAAATACTTCTGTAGATTTTTTTTCAAATGAGATACAAATAGACATTTGTGTCTTCAAAAAGAGAAACATGACAGAAGCAGGAACACAGTCTGATTGCTATATGAATAAGCAATAAAAAAGGAAAACAATTCACTGGATTAAAAAAAATCCCTTTTGAGATCTTTTGATGTAAAGACGCAAAAGAGAACACTTCACTTTTTCATCTTTGAATTTCATTTTATAAAATCCATTATATTGTGCTTAAAAATATAAATTACTCAGCAAGTTTATCAGAATTTCACAGTGGAATTTTATAGATGCATCAGTAGCTAAAAAACAGTGCCTTTGGACAAATAAACTCACACCAGCATGAGCTATTTTTACCATTCTCAGTGCAGATAACTAAATATCTGATTCCCATATGATACTCTAGAAAAGATATAATACAATAAATCCCTCAGAATAAAAAGAAAAACCATATGATATTGTATGAAACCAGAGGGAATGAGTTCACAAACTCCTCCCCAAAATGCCAGATTGACAGAGAAGGAAAGAGCCATAACAAATGCTTTTGTGTTCCTTCTTCTGCAGTCTGAAGTGTACTGGCAACAACAAAAAACAATTAATTTTCACAGTGGCAGAATCTTATTTTCCCTAGAATTAAGGTGGAAACAGTACCACCCTTGGAAAAGGTAAACTCTTCCACAAAATACCTGAAAGACTGAAATAACTGAAAGGCTGCATTTTTGGGGGTGGTCCTTGCAGGGTCAGTTCCTATATCCAAATATAGATGTATGTGATATGACTAAACAACTCTTTGACAAAATTTCCTTTTCCTTTTTCTGCTTGCTTTTACTGAGGAGAATAAAAATATGTATACATATGTTGAGGAACAAGATATCCAAGAAAAGTAGCTTATACTATTGTTTTTCTCTGGTTTGTGCGTATGACTAGATTAAAGGTCACAACAAGCTGAATTTGTTGACTCTTTAATTTACAATTTTGATCTTCCAGAGAGAATCTGGAGACTATTTTCCAGGACATGAAAGAAGAGTGTCACCGAATATGTATGCTAGCCAGAGAACAAACAGACCAACTGAGTATATTTAAGATAAAGCCAGAACCTGAAACTGGTAATATCATACTTAAGCTCTTATTGTGATTCAACTGTTTGAAAGCTTTGCTTTATATTTGAAAATACTGCAAATTACACATACATAGAAGTACTTCCACTGTTTACCATCTGCCTTTTTCAAGTCTGTTCACATGGTGCTCAGTATTTCACCAAGAAAACGCACCGCCAGTTTTGGCATTCTATGACGAATGCTCCAAATCACATGCTATAAAAGACAGTCATCACATCAATGGCTCTTGTAATTGTTTTGTCCCTTGGAGTGAGAGGCAGGCACTTACTACATGTGATATCCCATCATACTGTGTGAATGACAGCACTTGCTTGCTTTTAATTTAGCTGTCAGTTCAAAAGATGTCTGCTATGAATGCCTCTTAGCCCCATATCTGTTAGAGGAAAACTGCAGGACTGAGGAGACTCAGAGGACTTATTTTTTAGACTTCCTTGTGCAGACTTTTAAATACTGTTTTCTTATATGGGACAAAAGCTTAATCCAACACTTCCTGAAAGAAAGGGAAGGCTTGATTTTTGTTGAGACTGTGAGAGATCCTGAATGTCCAGTTCTCCTAATGCTTACCTTTAATACAATATAAGCTACTATGGGTATTCTCTACTAACTTTTCTTAACAGTATGATCAGACTCTTAAGTGATTTTGATAAACACCTGCCAAATGCACACAATTTAAGTGAAAGATGCTGATTTAAGCACTTGATTTTAATTTAGGTCATCCATTACTGAAGTTTTGTTACATGAAGTGCTGACATATATGTTGTTGCTTCAAATTGCTCTGTCTGAACTGTATTGTAATAGTCTGATTGTATGCTAATAATTTCATTATTTGGGGGTGGGAACTAGGAAGTGTGTTTGGCAACTTACTTCACAAGAATGGTTTTGATTTCCCAACAAAGTGCCTAACTCGTCTGTATGAAAAGCCATACATGATGTAAGCCATATAGATGATAAAAGAGGTGCTTAAGTCAATGGTGTATAAAGGTGTACATGACAAAAGCTATCTAGATTTAACATTTGATTTGTTACTTCTGTGTTCCACTGTCAGAAGGCTGCTGTACAATCAGTTTTTACTAAAGTTATTCTAAACTAAAGTTAGTTATTTCTATAGTTATATCTAAGTTATTCTATACTAAAGTTACTCCTGGAAAGGAGTAACCATTACCATTTTTATTAATATAATGCCAAAAATTAAGGGTAAATTCTCCAAACAAAGGGAAAACATGATCCCATTTCTGAATAGTTACTCAGTTTAAATATTTAACTAATTTGGAAACCAGTGGGAGTTGGGTACCTGAATACCTTCTAAAATTGTGCTCATGGTGCCTAGCATGTTCTTGGCACTGCGTGAAATGGTTTGGGTTCCAGCTTCTATTTCTGCCAGAACACTTCAGTAAATATGCAAGTATGTGTTAAGAGTATGGGACAACATAATTTTCAATAAAATGAAAATGTTTATAGCCAGAAATCAAAGAGAAATATAATTACTGGAAGAGAGTATTTCCTTTTTTTCTGTTCTGATAGTTTTTGTGTCAGAAGTAATGTTTGTGAAAGAGAACTACTCAAATCTCATCTGATCTCTATCTGATTTTAAAGAGAAAATAAACAGTTGAAAAAGCAGGGAAGGAAGACAAAAAAAAAATACCCCAGCACCACATTTTTAATAACTATATTTCAATGGACTATTTAATATTTTCTTCATTCTTTCTTCACAGAAATACAGTTTTCCATGCCGATACAGTGCACTGATAAAACTGATGAACAAGCAGAAGAGCTTTTTAAGCCTCGGGTTATAGAGGATATAAATAGAGGTGCATCATGCATCACATCTATCACACCAAGAGGAGTGGGCCAAGATGAGGACAACAACTCTGTAGAATCACTTTCTAAATTTAATGTCAAGTTTCCACCTACAGACAATGACTCTGCTTTCTTGCAGAGCACTCAGGAAAAACCAACAGTTCCTTGTACTGGTATATCTGAAAACATGCTTCAAGATCATCATTTTAACCTGGAGCACAGAGACCGTGCTGTTAACCTCAGTAAATTGGAACCTAACTCATTTGAAGCTCATGGCATTGATCTCATGACCTCAGCTTTACAAAGCTTGACTACTGTTGACAAAACAAACCCCTCAGATCATGCAAAGATGCCCATAGAAAAGATCTGTGACAAACCAGGTTTAAAAACAACAGACAGTGGTTTCACATTTGTACCTAAGCACACAATCCAGGGTGTACCTGAAGTAATTTTTTCTTTAGAAGCTGCTGGAACAACTGTCAGAGGTCCTCATCAGGTATCTTTCTATAAATATTCTACATTTCAAAAACCTGTAATGATTCAGACACACATTTTGCAAAGATCTTTGAGACTAGATTAATATATTCTCTAAGAAACCTCATCAGTCTTTTTTTAAGACAACCTCTCTTGTCATTTCTTCTTCCTAATACTGCAGAATGTGTTCAAGATGCTTTTCCAGTAAAAAGTCGGGAATATAAGCAGACATAAGCCCTAGATGCTTTTACAAATTTCAGTTCATTTAGATATTAATTGCTTCCATATCTATTTCAAAGCTGTCATTAGTCCTAAATTGTCCCCTAGATTGCTTTCTTTCTACCCTTGATCTCAGTCGTATAGGGCACACATTTGTTTTAATTGTTTTTCATGTACAGCAGAGAATAGGAAAAATTAACCAATTAAAAAGCTAAACAGATAAATACTTCCACTATGAAAAAAGTAGCTTTTTGTCTCAGTCTGAGGTAGCAACCCTCTTCCTCTGCTCTAAGAAACTTAAATTTTTGTCATTGTAGGAAAAAAAAACATAATTATTATTTTGAAAGGAAGAAAGTTTGCTAAAATACTCTTTCTTAGGTTTATGTATGTAATTTGGGCTTAAATTTCAGTTATAGCCTGAAGTCCATGGAAAACAAGTCCCAGTAGCTGTAATGCAGAAAAATGCATTGGCATGTTCTGACACTCATGTCTTTGAATACTTTGCTTCTTTTGTGTAACATCCTGTCTCAGCTGAAAGCTGGCAAAATTATGGAGCTTTATAGATTGACTTTGTGTTTTTTTTATTTCTGTGTTTTTTCTGGTACCTTGTGAAATGACAGATTCTCAAGAATAAGCAAATATGATAATTAGGAACTCTCGTGAGGGTGGAATTTTTACTATTTACATGGATGAAGTTTTATGTTCTTTCTTAATGGCAAGGTACATGCAGCAGAAGAGCTTTACTTCTCCATTTGGTCACTGCATGACCTGAAAAACCAGCATTTGGAAAGTGTTGAAGGACATGATAGCTTTGATGTTTTCTTCTCCTGAAATTTACCCAGTCTAGTTTAATTTTCTATTGCAAACCACTTTTGAATGAAAATTTTAAAGTATTGAAAGATTGCTGCTATAAGCTTGATTTTTTTCAAAAGCTATTTTAGATATCTATTTGTAATGTAGGAGACCTCAATTCTTTACCAACTTACTAATTACAGTTTTTATTGTATTTTTCATTGGGTCCTCAGTTAAAGTTGTGACTAAGTTAAACAAATTAAGACATTTATTTTACTGCTAGTAGAATTCCTGTGGAACTTCAAAGAAATCACTCCATTTATTGTTACTATCCTCCTTTTCTGTATTCCCTCTTCAGCCTATTCTTTTACTAGTTAGTCTGTGTATTCATTTTTCAATAGATGGCACCCTGCATTGTACATTACAGCAAGTGAAACAGCTGGTATGTGGTTATAAATTGGTAGGGGAGTATGCAGATTAAAAAGCACAGAACTGTGGTTGAATAGCAGTTGAATAGCAGTAAATCTTTGACCATTGGTATTTCTGCAAAATAAGGAAATTAATTTGGACCCAGCAATTAAAATGTGAATGATTTGTTTTGTGGAGAAAAATGCACTAAGGCTAGCACTCAGAGAAAAAGGTAATGGTGAATTGTTTAGTATTTGAAAGTCATACATACAATAGTACTGCATTGATTAAAATGTTATTTCTTATCCAGAAGTTTGTTTGAAACGAGCCCGTATTACTTTAGAATCCATTAAATGTACATCTGTGTATATCAGTATATTTAAATATTCATCACCTTTATTCAGCTGTTTCCAAAATACATTTTTAAGTATTTTTCTCAATTAATTTGACTCAGCTCTAGTTTTTTCTGACTGTAAATTGTGCTAAAGATTTGGTCACAGATAATATATATGTAGATTAAAATAGTATTTTTTTTTTAAGTTACTTATATACGTGCCCTTTTCACTGTGTTGACCTTAGCAAAAATTATGCATAAACTTGTTCGTAGTATTTTTGCCACCTTTCTAGGGGGAGGTTATGCTGCTTACAGCTTCTATCATCCTTTCCAAAAATGAAGGAAAAGCCAAAAAGGAGAGAATTATATACCTCTTTTTTTTTTTCCTAGTGTAGATAAAACTTTCAAGTATTTACTACATATGTTAACTTATAAAATGGAAAACCCCATAAATGCAATAGATTTGGCAACAGCAAGTTCTTGGAACTGCTCTCAGTTGGTGTAATAAATTTAGCTCTTTCCTTCTATGTGGATACTAAATCTAAAAACTCAGTACTGTTTTCTTAGAATGTAACTTTAAAAAAAAAAAAAAACGTGACTGAAAAGAGCAGTAGATTAAAATAAACATGGATATTAGTGAACCTAGGATTATACAGACTGCATTTAGCTGAGACTTTCATATAGATGCACATGTTTATTGGTATTTGCAGTTTGAGGGAATTGTTTCCACCAAAAATACTTCTAAGTATGTTCATGATTTTAAAAGCAAATCAGTAGTCTATTAATCTCAATATTAATGTTTTTGAAATTTAATGTCTGCTTAAATAGATCTCTGTTCTGACAAGGATATTAAACACAAGCTCAGCGCTCAAGAAGTGGAAGTTAAGTGCCTGTGTGTGTGGGTAGCTGGATGGGTACTTCCCCTTGTTATGTTTCCAGGATGACAAATAGTTTTTACAATACTATTTTATCTTTTTTCAAATGTGCTTTAAATCATATCAGAAACAAATAATTCTAAACACATTTATGTAGTGTGTTTAAGTGTGTTAACTTGTTTAAGTGTGTCAGTGTCTAGATAGATTTAATATGCAATTTACACCAGCAACATACAATAAGTAGACTCTTTGAGTTGAAAAAAGTGGTGTGATTGCACTTAATTACTAATTAGTCAATTTAATTATATGGATTGCTGACCATAATGAAAGACAGCAAATCTGCTATTGCTATGTGATAAGCTAAACACTGTTTAAATACAGAATGGGCAGGACTCCCCAAGAAGTTCAGGGTGGTTTAAAAAGAAGGTTTAACTGCTGTGAAAGCCAGCTTAGTTGTACAGTGGGTTGTTATGAGAGAAATAAATGATAGATTCTAACTATTTGGCATGATGAATTTTAAAGAAGAGCTGAAAATTAAAAATCTTGGGTATAAGTAGCAAGAAATTTAAAACTTCCAAAGAAATGACTTTGCAAAGTATTCTTCCTTGCCTTTCCATGTGTGAGTGAAGCAAGAGGAAAAAACTGAGCCAAAAAAAACCCCACTGTCTTCTAGAAAAGTTCCATCCCCACATAGAGCTCATACCAGCTTGCTGCCATTCTTTCTATTTTGTAGTCACAACAGGATGCATTTGGTTTTCAATTTACTCAAAACCTGATTGTCCTGGCCATGTAACATAACTATTTGATCTTGTGTTACTAATGCTAAAGTTATGAAACTTAAGTTTTAACTTTACTTCGAAAACTGATAGAAGATTTTTTGATTCCTAGTTGGTACAATTCTAAATAATCTAAAAACTTAGACTCTGGGTTTAAGTGCCTTGAATTCCAAAGCTGAATAAACAGACTTGCTAGCTTGAAACTAACTAGCTCAAGGAGCTGGAGCAGTGCAGCTGATAAACCAAATACTAGGTAGTTTATAGAATTGCCTGAATTCATGGATAGATATTCAAATGGTTCCAGTGAGTTTGACACTGTCATGGCAGGAGGAATCCCAAACAAGATTATTTGTGTCACAATTATACTAAAAGGCAGCCAGAGCAATTAAGTGCCTTAAGACATGACATGACATACACGGATGTAATAATTTTGGAAGTAAACTGAAAAGTAGTTATATGTCAATAAGAATGGAAATAAAATAGAATCATGTTAACTTTGTACAAGAAACATTTTATTCTAAAGTAAAAATGTATTTTCTCATTTCTGCTAAATGGCTATTGTGTACTATGACTTCTACAGTAAAATACTGAAATGAAAAAAAAAAGCTTTAGTACATACCAGACTGATGTTACAGACTTCTGCTCATAGCAATATTTATCATAAATAGATACCAAGGTCCTATCTTGCTTTTCTTAAATGAGAACTCTCTACTTACCGTCTCTGGCCAGGCAGGTGTAAAGGAATCCTAATTTAAAGAGGCAGGTATTTTTGAAAATATAAACTACAGCATAGTGTAAACCACATTGTAAACCTAGCAATAATAATTTTCTGTTTCTTTTAGCCCATTTGGCAGCCTCAAGACAATGATTTGCTGGCACAAGCATATGCAGACTCTGAACCGAATCAGTGTGGAATATGTGAATTCTGTCGAGAAGTTTTCCCACCATCTCTAACATCTAAGGAAGATTTTCTTCGGCATCTCAATTCCCACTTTAAAGTACAGTCTTAATGTATGAGAATTCAATGGTTCACTGTTTTTGCATACATTTTTACATTTTTTTATTCAATAGATATAAGAGTTTAAGAATTAAGACTTCTTGTAACAAGAACTCATGACTGAAATTGTTTGTCACATAAGCACATTTGTCATTGTCTTTTGATAAGGCAAAATGAAACTAAGTCACTCAGTGCTGTGATTCACATTATTGCTTGTTACGCTTCACTATTAACTTTGAGAGCGATGTCAAACACTTTTTCCAAATAATCTTTGCCTGAATAGTCCTGAAGTTGTGACTGTATTTATGAATGTAGACTTGCAGGATTAATACCTTAATCTGGCTGGCAAAAATTGGTGTAATGCCAGCATTTTTTTTTACAATATCCAGTGATGTGATTATGTTCTCTCAGAAGTACATGGGAAGTAGGCCCTCATTTTTCATTTATACTATATAATTTCCAAATTTAACTTACAGTAGTAAACTTCTTAATTCAGATTCTTGTAAAATTACCATAATAGCTGAATCCAGGTGTGCCAGAATTAGGATAGGCTTCTTTACTAGTAACAGAAATGAATGGTTGACTTTCCCAGATAATTTTTTTACTAAAGCAAGTAATCAAAAGTAACACATAAATGACCCTTTTGCCAAAATGGAACAGTAATGATTTTATGTATCTGTTACATGTTTTAAAAAAAAAAATAATTCTCTTGTTCATGTACCTTTATAGCATTAATAATTACTAAAATGCTTTCAGGGAATGAGTAATATTAATATGAAGGATAGAAAGGTTAAACTTTCCCCAAAAACTAATGATACCAAAGATTATTTGCCTTCCCTTCTTGTCTGCTATGATAGATTGCCCAAGTCTGGTACAGACTGGAAAGGAAAGGGGAAAACCTAATCATCTGAATCTCAGTGACTTAATTTTTAACCTGAATATGCTTAGTGACTTTCTCAATGCAATTAAATTTTGTGTTTAGTTGAAACGTTGAAGTCTGATAAAGTTTGCACATTTTCTGGATTTTACTGATGTCAAATTTAAAAATAGGGGTGTTGCCAAGTATTTTAAATTAATGATAAAGGGTGCTTGCTTTTTGCATTTGAACTGAATATAGAGTTTAGCCCTGATATTGATAATTAGCATTAATATTTTCACAGAAAAGCACAACACTTTTATCTTTTTAAAGATTTGTTTGCAGGTGACAAATTTCTGGAAGAATTAACAGCTGCATACTTTTTAGACTTTTCTGCAATTATTTTCTCTATTTTGAACATGTCATGTTTGTGACGGGCTGTCAACAGAGTGTACTGTAATAAAGAGCAGTGTACAGTGCACGTCTGCTACACGACCTGGAGGAAGAGTTTGTTACTCTTCGGAGCTCTAAACCCTGCCGGTCCGCAGCGCTGAAGAGGCGATGTTCGGCCGCCGCCGCGCCGTGCGGTGTGAAGCACTTCCCCGGAGAGCGCGGCTGGGGGTGGTGCCCGGGAGAGACACAACTTCCAGCCCTGGCAGCAGAGAAGGGAATTCGCACATCTCCAGCCAGCCCGACACACGGCACCGACTCGTCCTCTCAACCGTGAAATTCGAGCTCAGAAGCTCGCGTTATTAAGAGATGCACAAACTGAGAATCACCTTTGAAGAAAATAAAGTCATCTGTTTCTCCCCCCCGCCCCCACGGGTGGGTGCGTTTTCCCCAGGAGCCCTTGAGTTCGGAGCCCTGCTCCGAGCCCCAGTCCCGCACGGGGACAAGGCCCTTTGTTGCTGGAGGCAGTCTGGGCTCCCCCACAGCCGGGGCACAGCAGGGAGGGCGGCAGGAGGTGGGGAGAACACGGTTGACCAAAGTCTCGTCGACCAGCAGAACCCATCCGTCTCCCACTGTGAGGGCTCCTGCCTAGAGCGGCGTTTTAGGAAACTGTTTAATCCTGCGTGCTTAAAACTCGCTGCCTGAGGGCATCCAGATAGGCTCACCGATCAGACAGACCGCTGCGAGGAGCACTAGTTTAGTTTTTAAACAAATAAATAATAAATAAATAAATAAATAAATCTCACTCTAAGCAATTGTGAGCGACTCGAAGTGGGAGGCGAGTGCGGTCCCTGAATGGGTCCCCCTTATACAGTTTTCCTGAAGGCGGCTGCTGCTGCCAGCAGGGACATCTGCTTTATTACACTCACCAGAGGAGGCTCAGTATTCCTCCCCTTCCCTGCCTCTTCCACACAAGCTCAACCCGGCAGAGGCGGTTGAATCCAAGTGGGAAGTAGAATGTCATTAAAAATAATAAATAGGTGGAAGGAACTTGAGAGGACAGGAAGAGCAGCAAACTCGTGCCAAGGTGTTCTACCGAATTCCAACTCCACCAGGGCCAGCGGAGCCCTCGCCGGGGCAGCCCCGGGGCTGGAGCAGTTTCAGGGCTCCCGTGCGAGCTCACTGTCACCCCGCCCCGCGCTGACGGTGCGCGACGCGTGAGTCCCCCGCGCTCACAGCCAGCGTTCGCGGGAGCGCTCGCAAGGAAACAAACGCTCCCGGGGACACTGCGGCCGTACGGCTGCCTCAGCCTGCTGCGAGGGCTCAGTGCCGGCGGCCGGGTAGAACACATGTAGCTCCTCTGTCTCTCCGGCTAACTCGACATCTGCTCGTAGCTCCAGTAATTAGACTGTCACTGCTTGTTAGAGGAGAGGAAAACGCTCCTATGACAGATTCCACGAGACCTCTGTTTTTTAAAATCTCGCAGAAATCACCAGAGCATTAACTGAGATTTCTTTTTTCTCTACAATCAGAAGGAAAGAAGTTCCCTCTCCCATCTCGCACTCCAATCAGATCGCTCTTCCGACTCCCATGAAACAGTGAATTCACTATAAGAGGCTGAGGAAGTTACCTTCCTTCCCCTGCCTGCCTGGGAGGAAGAGGGAGCTTCCTGGCCTTGTGAACTTGCTTTTAAAATCCCTTCCCTGTATGGCTGTATCTAACCAGATAATAGAAATGCAATCTTTCCTCCATTAACTGAGCGGAGGAGTCGCTCAACACACGATCCTTCCCCATCCGAGACAATATTAATTCAGAGGATGCTCAGGAGAGGCTGTTCCCCCTTACGAACAAAAGCACTGGAGGATCAAACCGAGATGCTTCTACCCCCACCCATGGTTCACTCAGCAGATGAGACTCAGAGGAGGCGACTTCTTCCCCTCCCTACCATACATTCCCCTTTCCCCCGCAATCATACAAGGTTAACTCAACAGAGGAGTCTCAATCCAAATGGCAACTGGGATTGCATTTAAAAAAAAAAAAAAAAAAAAAAAAAAAAAAAAAAAAAAAAAAA